AACCCGCGGGCTCAGGAAATCCACTCACCTCAGCCTCCCAAAGGCGCAGGATTACAGGCTTAGCCACGGAGCCTGGCTTATTTTTAATTTTTATAAAGACAGAGTCTTGCTATGTTGCATAGGCTGGTCTCAAGCTCCTGGGCTCAAGAAATCCTCTTGCCTTGGCTTCCAAAAGTGCTAGGATTACAGAAGTGAGTCACTGTACCGTGTCAGAATTTTTTTTTTTTGAGTGAGGGTCTCATTTTGTCACTCAAAAGTGCAGTGGCACAATCATGACTCATCACAGCCTCGAACTCCTAGGCTCAGGCAATCCTCCGACCTTGACCTTCCAAGTAGCTGGGACTACAGGCATGCACCACTATGCTTGGTTAATTTTTAAATTTTTTGTAGAGACGAGGTCTTGCCATGTTGCCCAGGCTGGTCTGGGCTCAAGTAATCCTCCCATCTCAGCCTCCCAAAGTACTGGGATTACAGGCATGTGTAAAAACGTCAGCCTGGAATAATTTTTAAAAATCATTCTGGGATATTATATCATCAGAGTTGCTTGGGAGTTCAGGCTTTCTTGCACAAACAAATAAACTGGGGTCATTTCAGCCAAGAAGTTCAACAATTGGAGGCATGCACTAAAGTTGTAGGTGGCACAGACCACAAATCCTGCGTGAGACCCTACACACACACACACACACACACACACACACACACACACACACACAAATTCTGTGTGAGACCCCTACACAAAAAAGCATGTCAGTGTCTGGGCCAAGGAGAGGATGCTGGGACAATGTAACACAGAATGGGGGACCACACAAGAGTTCTCCTCATCACTGACATTAGCAGCAAGGCAGGGGACATCTCTTCGCTCAATTGGGAGAGACAAGGACCAGGCCCACTATGCAATGCACCCCTCCTTCCTGCTGCCCATGGGAGCCAACCAGAGACCCTTAGTAGCTGTGTAGACACTGGAGTCTGCAGACCTGCCAAACTCATAAAAATAGCTCAGAGCCCCTGCACAATTGGTTTTAACCCAAAGAAATTCATGCGTCATCAGCAAAATGGGTGATTAAAAATTCCTAACTAGATGGTTCACTCCTTTATCTGTTTAATCTCTATGCTTTTTTTTAAAAAAAAAAAACAGCACCACATTGCTGATAACTTGAAGACAAAGTCATAAAACACTCGCATGCAACTCCAGGTCTGTGTTGTGTTAAATTCAGCAGAACTGAGGACCTGTCACAATGCAGTTTTACTAGCACTTGCTCTCTCTGTTGCCCCTGAGACTATAAAAACTCCCTTGAATCCTAGGATTCTTCACATCTGTGTTTTGTGGAGACTTTAGTCAAGGAGGGTCTTTACTGTTTTCACATTTCCTCATGTACGTTTTATAACTTCAATGTCTTCTAAAATTGGGAGAACGATATTCTAGGGCTGTGATTTCAAGAAATGGAATAGGGAGATTAAAGTGGAGAATGTTCTCCTCGGTGTCTTTGACTGTTTTCTTCATGTTTCCTTACATCTTTGGGAAAACCTATAACAAGGAACTCTTCTTTGTGGTTTTTAGATGGAGGATAGCAAAAAACAGGTTTATTTCCTATAAAGACGATGTGAAGAATGTGTCTGTATGTGTTCATACATGTATGTGTGTGTCTCTGTGTATGTACATATATTTTGTTTTGTTAGTTTGTGTTTGAGACAGTGTCTTGCTCTGATGCTCAGGCTGCAGTGCAGTGGTGCAATCATGGCTCACTGCAGCTTCCTAACTCCTGGGCTCAAGCGATCCTCCTGACTTAACCTTCTGAGTAACTGGGACCACAGGTGTGCGCCACCACGTACGGTCAGTTTACGTACATGTATTTTGTTTTTGTTTTTGTTTTTTTTGAGTTGGAGTCTCACTCTGTCACCCAGCCTGGATGAAGTGGCCGCTCCCGGTCACTGCAGCCTCGACCTGCTGGGCTCCTGCCATCCTTCCACCTCAGCCTTCCAAGTAGCTGGAACTACAGGTGCACGCTATGATGCCCAGCTAATTTTTTATTTATTATAGAGATGAGATCTCGCCAAGTTGCTCAGGCTGGTCTTGAACCTGTGGGCTCAGGCAATCCACTCACCTTGGCTTCTCAAAACGCTGGAATTACAGTCTGAGCCATCGATCCCGGTCCATACATATATTTTGAAAGTGGCATTGAGACGCCTTTCTTTCACTTCTGCTGTCTGTTTGGTCCCCATCACTGCAATCAGCACTGGATTGGAAACTTTGGAACTTTTTCATTTTTGACTTCTCATGTGTTGAGCAAGGAAAGCCCAGAACCTTACTAACAAGCATTCCGGAGGGGAAAACAGATGGTCCGACCGATCCTCACACACACATGGGGCTGTCTGAGCTACAAGTACAAGCAAAGACTTGTATTTCTGCTTGGTGCTGGGTGGGGGTGGGGGGCACCCTTCCTCAAGGCAAGTGCCTGACAGGGACTGCTCTCCCAAGTGCCAACCCCATTTGCATTTGCTGGCATAGTGGCAGGGTGGGTGCAAGTCGTACCACCGGCAGCTCCCATCATTGCTACACTTTACATTGGATTATTTCATTGTCACTTGAAACTGATCTGAGGATTAATGGATTATGATAATTACGTGATGTGTGGTGGAGGAAATGGGTCTTGGCTGCAAGAGGAGTTGCCAAAAGCAGACTCTGCTCTCAAGGGCACCCACCCATTAGTCTCTGCCCCTCTGGCCTTTAGGAACCGCGTTCTGTAAGCTGGGACCGATCTTAGCCAGGAGGTGCTCACATGTAGGAAAACAGCCCACCTGTGGTGTGGAGAGCATGTCCAGGCTCCAGGAGCACATCTTGCCGTCAGTGGAGACAGTGATGAGGTTGTGAGCATTCTGGGTCCCAACCACGTTGACGCAGTACACAGGATGCTGCAAAACAGAGACACAGGGGCTCAGAGCACAGCCGGGGGCCATGTTGACAGGTGGGTGTCAGCATGTGACTGTGGAATGAAGACTAATGGGACACAGTCCCACAGTCACACATATCTTGGGTCACCTGACACTTTAGATGTCAGCCTTATTTCTCTCCGAGAGCCCTGGCAGTCATGCATCATGGGGAACATACTCACAAAGCTCCACCCTCTCAGTCGGACACCAAGCAGGAGATTAGGGGGCAGATTGGGGAGGGGAAGCGGGGAGGCACAGCAAATGCACAGGGAGGTGGGTCTGAGTTACTCGGACATGTCTTTACTGTGTGGTTTGGCTTCTAAGCTCAACACAGGTGATGGCAAAAGATAGTTCTCAGAAGGGTGGAACCATCACCTCTTGGAAGGAATGTGTACTGCCCAATCTGGAGTTTGGTGCATTGGTGTCACCATGCCCATTGTTAACATTCTTTACAGAAAGTGGTAAAGAGTCAACAACCTTTTAAATTTGGGTGGAGGAGAGATACTGGTGGTGAAATTATTGGCACAATGCACCTAGGGATATAAAATTAGGGTCTTTTATGTTACAGCAAAAATCTAGGCTAATGACAGATTTCTTTTCCAAGATGAGGCTTAGACTTGGCTGAGGTCTTGAGAAAGATCATACATGTCCCAGGACCTCTAAGCAGGATACTCTGACCTTCTGTGGTGCTCAAGTGGGCTGTCCCACACCATGAGACCCTAAGCTGGAGGCTAACGTCATTTGCAGCTGCACAGCAAGTGCTGAATGAGCAGCCCCTGCGCAATCTGGATTAGATGCCTGCAGTTTGGTCATCGGGGACCAGACCGCGCCTGCCCGATGCATCTCTGTGCAGGCAGCTAGCGGCCTGAGTCTTTCCCCAGAAGCGACTGTCCCTAAGACCTTGCCACAACTGCACAGGAGGCATCTCTCATGTTGGAAAGCTGACTTTATATAAAGGATGTTCTCCAGCTACTGTTATCCTATAACCTACTGGCCAGGAGTAGCGGGAGACCTCATTTGAGCAGCCGTTTGTCTGCTCTGCTCTGTCCTCATGGGGCACCAGCCTTAGCACCCATCCCTCGGGAGTGTTTAAACTCTCCAAGAATGGAGATAAGGGACACTCAAGGGGACCCTTGCAGTGTGGTGCCCTCTTGGGCCCACCAGCCTAATGCAGTCCAGCTCTGTAAATGTGGATGGATGGTTGTTTCTTGTCACCCCCTGTTTCAGCCAAGTCTTGTCTTGCTCATATCCTCACCAGGGCCTCCAACTGTCCCTTGGGTACCTGGCTTTCAAATGCCTCCCCACCCTCACTTGGCCTCTCTCTTTTGGGTGAGCTCCATCTTGGCTGGGTTCATCTGGAGGTGATATGCTGAGCGGGAATCAGGACCATCTATCCCGCATTCAGTGTAGAGAACGGAGAAAGAGCAGAATAGCAAAACTTGGGTGTCATGGGGCGGTCACCGTGTGTAGTAAGAAGGACACCCACACAGATGCAGCCTGAGGCAACAGTTTTTTGACAACGGCGTCACCCTTGACCCACACCAATGGACAGTCCACCATGTCTCAACTGGAACTTTCGCATCCATCAGTCCCAGTGGCCCCGCACAGGTGCGTGTGCGGGTCTGCAGCCACACGGGACCCCAATGGAGCCCTATGGTTATGTCATGGGGACTGGTGAGCTATGGGACTTCAGGCAATGCTCTTGCCCCAGGTACCGGGGTGTGGAGGCTGGGGTGGTATACAAATTCATGCCTGGAGCCACACGGACACAGGGCTCATCCTCAGAAAGAGGAAGGGAAGTCGTACATGCTCACCCAAGCAGGAGGCTTCTAAAACGGAGGCCTGGGAGGCAGGATGAAGGGTGGCCAGGAGCCTGAATGCCATCTTATGTTTTCATGGTTATGCAATGAGTATCAGAATAAATCACAGAAACTCTGATGGACCAAGACTCTGAAGGGTATGATCGGGCAAGGAGATGAGTGTAGAATGGTATGGGTGGGAGAGGAGGCAAGTGAAGAAGGATGCCCAGAGCTGGATGCCTGGAGAAGGGGCGATTTTGCCCTTCCAGGCTTCCATACTCTCTGCCAGTGCTTTCACGAGGAATAAAACGTGGTTTAAAGGAAAAAGAGAGGGGATAGGAAACCAAAACAGAAGCAGACACACATGCACACATACACATGTGCATGCACACACACAGACACACACATACAGACATACATATACACATGTGCATGCACACACACAGACACACACATACAGACATACACATGTGCACACTCACAGGCATATTCCCACACACAGAAACACACAGACACACACACACACACTTAACTCTACTTAATGGAAAGAAAAGGCAATAGGCAGCTCATGTTTCCAGGATTGCTGCCAGATTGTTTTTATTTGTTTTAGAAATGAACAAACTGTGTGACACAAGGATTTGCTGTAATTAAGATTTACTGCTGTCCCCAGGCACACGTGCAGTGGACATGGGAGGAAGAGTCAGCAGCGTGTGGTGGCCGCTTCTGCCTCAGCCTGGAACCCATCAGCCGGCAGTGACAGGTGAGAGACACCGCTTGCTTCTAGCGATGGGTTGGACAAAGCCAGCAAGAGAGAAAAACGGATGTGTTTTTGTTTTGTTTTCTAGCACAAATGATGTCACCAAGTTTGATAACAATAGTATTTTAACTGTGATGGTCACACTTTAAGTTATTTAAAAAAGCAATGTGAACTCTTTGGAAGCGTTGCTGGGTTTGGAATCTCCCAGAAGCTTGTTGCTAAACGTTCTAACATTTGGATTCATAACATTGGAAATTTTGGAAGTTACATCCATAACATACCCAGCATCCACACAGAGCCAAGACATGGCTTCCCACGACTCAGTCTCTGTGTAGAGCTGCCTTCTCCTGGGCCTCAATTTTCTGTGATTAGTTTGGCGGAACAGGGTGGAAGAGCAATTTCCCGACTCCAAAGAACCAGTCTCACCTGCCTGCATCTCTGGCCCTGTCAGTCACAATGAGGGCTGACAGGGAACTGTCAGGTCCCATTGTCAGTCTCACAAGAGTGCAAGGATTGTGCTGCGCGTAGCCTCAGTCCAGCAGCCGGCAGGCCTCTCCAGCCTGAATGGTCCTGAGGCCCCAGCAAGACAGACGAAGGAAATGGAAACAATGGTGGGACTGTCTCCCTGGGCATAATTTGGGCATTTCAGAGAGAGAGCATCAGTTACCCTGAACGTCAGGGTAGAAGGATTGATGGAGACACGCCTGTCTTCTTAGCCATCCCAACAGTTGCCATCCACACCTGTCATTCTCTTAAAGGAAATGACAGAGTAGTTGTCTTATGAACACTATCCTGAACCTCTTCAGCTAAATTGTGGGTAATGGTTTTGTGATGTTGACTTTTAACCCCAGGGATTATATTGTCACTGTAGACTGTATGCTGAGACTCACACCATGCATGCCAGAATTTAAAATCATAGCACTGCCTCAGATCACAGATGGAGAAGGCCCATGGCAGACGGCCCACATACCATCCTTGGACAGGAAATGCTTACTTTTCTTTCTTTTTTTTTTTTTTTTGAGTTGGAGTCTCACTCTGTCGCCCAGACTGGAGTGCAGTGGCCGCTCCTGGCCACCACAGCCTCGACCTGCTGGGCTCCGGCGATCCTTCCGCCTCAGCCTTCCAAGGAGCCAGAATTACAGGCATGAGCTACCATGCCCAGCTGATTTTTTGATTTATTGTAGAAATGAGGTTTCGCTGCCCAGGCGGGTCTCAAACCCGTGGGCTCAGGCGATCCAGTCACCTCAGCCTCCCAAAGGCGCGGGATTGCAGGCTGAGCCACCGAGCCCGGCTTACTTTTCTTAGTCTGTTTAAAAATGCATGTTTTCACCTTATAATGGAAATGTGTGGGATTTCTTTAGGAAAACAATTCCACAGAAGCCTCTTCCAAAGCTTCTCTTTACTGGTGGTCTTTAGGACAGTCGGGGAGATCTTTTCCTTCCTTCCTTCCTTCCTTCCTTCCTTCCTTCCTTCCTTCCTTCCTTCCTTTCTTCCTTCCTTCCTTCCTTCCATTGGAGCCTCACTCTGTCACCCAGATTGCAGTGCAGTGGCATGATCATGGCTCATTGCAGCCTCAATCTCCTGGGTTCAAGTGATCATCCTGCCTCAACCTCCCAAGTAGCTGAGACTACAGGCATGCACCACCACCCCCAGCCAATATTTATTTATTTATTTTTGGGTAAAGAACAGGTCTTGCTATATTGCCCAGGCTGGTCTCAAGTTCCTGGGCTCAAGTGATCCTCTCACTTCAGCCTTCCTAAGTGCAGGGATTACAGGTGTGAGCCACCATACCTGGCCCAAGGAGATGTTTTCTATGTGCCAGAATGTGCAGATTATTAATTATTATTATTATTATTATTATCTGTAAACAAAGTGCTCCCTTCACCTACTTTAGCCAGTCAGGAGGCAATTGCTTCAAAGCTGACACTTAGCTGGCCCTCCTGGCAATGCCCACCTTCTGTGAGTTGAGCTATTTCCTCTTTGGGGGCCTGGGATGCTCCCAGGGATGTGAGAGGGCTTGACTCACCGTGTGCGCTGCCGCTGACAAGGGTGTCCGCTGCACCGGTGTCCTCCGATGACTGCGATTGTCCCAGAGGACGATCTGGCCCGAGTAAGTCCCACCAACCACCAGGTTGGGATGGAAGCGTGCGAAGCAGACCGACATCACAGAGGACTGTGGGGAAAGGAGAGGGGATGCCGTGAGATGGTGGCAGAGGATCCTTCCTGGAGAGGATTCAGGTGATACACAACCCAATCCACCCTGGAAACCACGAGGTATCTGAGAGCTCAGAGGACTGTGATGTCCACACTAGGAGGAAACTGTGGACACAGAGGCTGGCCACATGCTACCCCTTAAATCTGAAATTTGAAGTCCTGGTCATGTCACCAAAGAGGCAGGCATAAAACCTATGTACAAGGGCAGACCCCCCAAAAAACCGGAATTATCTTTCAGAGGATGGGCCCCTTGTAGTACACTCAGAATTTGTTCCTCCCGATCAAGCAGTCAACCAAAGGGTTTGTCTGGAAGTTTTGAGACAGTTGCATAACAATTTACAGAAGAAATGTCCCAAGTTGTGGCAAACAGGTGACTGGTTCTTCCACCATGACAACACACCTGCCCACACCACATTGTGCTCAGCAGTTTTTGACCAAACATGACATAACCCCTGTGTCCCATTCTCTCAATTCACCTGATCTCACCCCAAGCGACTTTTTTTTGTTTCCCTGGATGAAAAAGTCCCCAAAGGGAAACGTTTTGCCATTGTGGAAGAGGTGAAACAATAAATGACAGAGGCACTCAAAGGCATCAAAATGAATGAGTTCAAACACTGTTTTGAGTAGTGAAAAAAACATCGGTAGGTGTATTGCATCAAACAGAGAGAACTTTGAAGGTGCCTAAAGTTTAAACATGCAAGAATAAACACACAATTTGTTACAGGGTCCCCTGCACCTCTTTGTTTCGTGGTCTTTGACGTGTGTGTGTAGACATTTCCTATTTACTGACTGAAGTGGCAACGGCACTAATATTACTTCTCCCCCTACGCCTTTACGAAGCAGTCCTTTACTTGGAGGGTGCAGCAGCACCCAGTGATACTCGGCAGTGCTGGCCAAGTGAGTTAATTCAAGGACTTCAAGGGCTCTAAGATGGGCTTACTGTAGATGTCTAGGAAGCACACACACTGAGCCCAGACTAATCCCAGGCTCCTCTCTGGGTTCCCTCCTGTGGGCATGCTCCTTAAGCTTGGTCCTGCCACTTCACACGATTCTCAGTATTATTCTTTGCCTATTTTAACAAACAGCCCGAGGTGGCTTTCAGCCAACTCAGCTGAGGTCTGCCGTAGTCTGTCACAAGTCTACCGGGCACCATGTTTTGCAGGAACTGACTGAGCTGAGACTGAACCACGATGTCCCTAAGATAAGACACGTTCCTATTCCACATCCATAAATGAAAGCAATTATTTCTGATAAGGATGTCTCATTCCTTCAGTCTAATTCAAGGGTCAGTCACTGAGAACTTACTATGTATCAGAAAGGCATTGTACTAGGGGTGGGGAGTAAAAAGCAGGCTTGTGCTCTGGGAAAGGAAACAGAAAATCCTGGATGTAGATGACTGCAGCTGTCTTGTCCACATGGTGTCTTTGAGGGAAACTGAACACATGCCCTCTGCATGGACACCGCCATGTGGGTAGGCACACGCCATGGAGAATGGTTTGTAAGGTGGGCTTTCCTTCTCATGGGCTTGGCATTCTTGTGTAGCGTGCAGCTCGCACACCTAAGCAGCAGCCTCAAATGTGACACACACTAGGATTAAGTCACAGGAACGCGTGGGTGTGGGGAGAGGGATGATGGAAGGAGATTTATTTTAGTTAAGGGAGCAGGAAGGGAGCTGGAAAAAATGTGATGACTAGGAAGACCCTGTGGGAGGGGACATGTCACTCTTTGAAGTATGGGTGGAACATGTAGCGAGAGGAGAGAGGAAACAGGCGTTCCAGAGAGACAGAGGCTGAAAGGCAGAGGCTGGGGAGCAAGTGTTGCCTTCTGAGGCTGTGAAGGAGCTTGCATGGAAGAAGCAGGTAGCAGGAAATGCAGCCAGGAGTTCGCCTGGACTGGACAGGGTGAGACCTTGAAGGACATTCTTTGGCATTTTTTCTGTGGGCACGGAAGAGGATCAAAGATGGTAACTAATAAGCCAACAAAGTAGTGACTGAAAACAAATTTTAACCTATTTTTGACTGGTCAACTAAGCATCCATGTCTTTAAAAACCAGTCTGCTGTCAGCCTGGGGCTTCCTCATCAGAAACAGCCTCCGACACCGAGGGAGGGTCAGGAACGCAGACTATTTCCCAGTATCAGGCTTTCCTGCTCGGAGTGATTTTCAGTTCCAATGTCTTGAACTCAATTCAATGGAGAGTGCTTTCCTGCCCCAATCTGGTTTTCATGAAGTTCAAGAATAACTCTCAATAACTACGCTCAAGTAAAGAAGAAGAAAACGATGCTGGCCAGCTTCTTGTTTTACACATCCCGCAGAAGCGAGTTTTGGTTTTCAACTGATGAAATTCTTATGTCTTGGAGCTATGTTGGAAACATTTTTTTAAAGCTTCAGAAAGACTTAAAATTATCCAGGTGGTATCAACAATTGAATTGACCAAAGCTCAAATCAATATGGATAAAGAAATGTCATTCAATTAAAAAAATCCAGGATCCAACCCCTTGATTGCTTTCACATTTCAGTTAAATCCCAGCAAAAACTCCCTCCAAACCTTGCATGGTCTGCTGAGTGACTAAACCAGAGAAAGACAGTGGAGGTGTTTCTACCAAACTGAAACACATCGCTGGCAATGAACTAGACTCCAGCCTCACAGGACGAGAAGGCTAATACCCACTGTTCAACACTTCACTTGTTCATTCATTCATTCATCACTCAGCGCCAACTAAGCATTACTAAGCCACCTCAAAAAATTTCAAATGTCACAGAAGCCATTTCCATCTTGAGTTCAGAATTCTATTTAAATTTCTTAAAAGTCAAACGCTTGCCAAAAAAGAGCCAGTACACCTTGGAGCTCCAGAATTGTACCAGAATCTATTTTGTTTTGCTGCAAACACATTTTTACATTATCTCCATGAGGAAGGAGAGTAGACATACTTCTTTTCATTTTATATTTGGAAGATGAGGAACAGTTCTGTCAATTTCACTTATCTTTTAAGATCAACATAAGAATTACATATGGACTATGTATGACATGGTGTGTACGTTTATATAAGTGCATGTATTCATGTGTCCATTCTGCTTTCAGCACAGATCTCTAGGGCACACCACAGCAGACACCATCGTTTCTGTGGAAATACCGAGGCAGGAAGGTCTCAGGCCCCTAGATGTGGGCTTCAGCATTCATGGGAATGTTTGTATGTATCCTGAAGTCTGATGGAATGGTGGCAAATATTTGACTGACTGACTGACTTTTTTATTTTCACCCACATGTTTAGGTACTTAGATATGGGAACAGTTCTCCAGCTATGATCCAGACACCGAGAGCTCCTCTTCTTATGTGGAAAGTCTGCCTCAACCACCCTCAGAGCAAAAGGTTTTGGAAATCCCCACCACCTCCTGCTATTCCCAAGCTATGGATCTGGTCATGGCTGTGGCTGCTGGTCCCCACGGAATTTACTGAGTCTGTAAAATGAGCAAATGGTGGTATCACCCTGCCAGTTTCATCTGTTTGGGAAAAGTAAAAAAGCATTTCAAAAAAATAGGTTGACACTGGTTTTATGTTGTTCTCATATTTAACAGTACATTTTTCTGGAGACAGAGTCTATGAAAAACGTGATTGATGGTACTAATGTGATTCTTAAAAATTTCATCACTTTCCTAAGCATTTGAAATGTGGTATTAAGTTATTCAGTGTTATAATAAAGCATTATTAAACTCTAATTAATAAAATTTAGACAAACAAAATTCATTGGAAACAAGAAGCTTCCTTGCCTTGTGGTCCTTGACTCAATAGGAAAACATATGTGTATAGAAATTTTTGTAGTTTTCACTTTTTACCTATTTTATTCTTTACAATGTTAGAGCCTGAAGCATTTTACACAACAGCCATGACCTGGAATCAACCTAAGTGTCCTTCAACAGATGACTGGATAAAGAAATTGTGCAGGCACACAATGGAATACTATGCAGCCACAAAAAAGAATGGAAGGCTATCAGTTGCAAAACCATGGCAGGAGGTGGAGGACATGATGTTAGGTGAAATAGGCCAGGCACAGAAAGACACATTTCCTATGTTCTCACACATATGTGGGAGCTAGAACTTAAAGCGATGCAACTCGTGAAGACAGAGAGTAGAATGATGGTCACCAAAGGCAGGGAGAGTAGAAGAGAGGAGTGGATGGATGCAATGGGTAATGGGTGAAAAAACACAGTCAGATAGTCCAAGGTCTAGTATTTTTTTTTTTTTAAGTTGGGGTCCATTCTGTCCTCCAGGCCGGAGTGCAGTGGCACAATCATGGCTCACTGCATCCCACACAAAGAAATGATAAAAACTTGTGGTCCCGGACACCCCAGTTACCCTGATGTGATTATTACACATTCGTGTACCTGTATCAAAACATCACATGTACCCATAAACATTTAAAAATCTTCATAGTAGTAAAAAAAGACTAGAGCCTCAGAATTATTTTTGAAAATAATGTATTTCCTTGAAAACTTCAAATCGGCATGGCTTGATGGCTCAGCCTGTAATCCCAGTGCTTTGGGAGGCCGAGGTGAGTGGATTGCCTGAGCTCGCGGGTTTGAGACCGGCCTGGGCAACTTGGCGAGACCTCGTCTCTATAATAAAACAAAAAATACCCAGGCATGGTAGCACGCGTCTGTAGTTCCAGCTACTTGGAAGACTGAGGTGGAAGGATCGCCAGAGCCCAGCAGGTGGAGGCTGCGGTGGCAGGGAGGGGCCACTGCTCTCCAGTCTGGGTGACAGAGTGAGACTCCAACTCAAAAAAAAAAAAAAAGAAAATCAAGCAGTTTACATATATAAAAAATATATACCAAGTTACTGGGAACTTTTGGACAGTGTTAACTGTGTAATCCCAGTAAGCGTTTCTTGCACTTGAATTTTGTCTTCCCAAGACTAGTGATTCCATGGACACGACCATGCTGTTGGTCAGATCAGGGGCCCA